CTGCTGGAAATCTGGAATCTTAATTCCATCCACTAGGGGAACACATTATCACCCCCATAAATCGCATCTAGAGGCTTCGGCTAAAGACAGGTGAGTTGGGTCGGGGAAATTTATACTTTACATGGATTCTTAACTTGTAATGGTTTTTTATGATTAAATAAATAAATGACACCAACCTGATTGCGGGATTAAAAAAAAAATATATATTAAATTTATTATAAGTTGATATCATTTTGATACTTAGTTTGAAATTTTATTTATAAGTAATATTTGGATTATTTTAAATTAATTTAAATTTTATTTTATTATATATTTTTTAAAATACTATCTGAAATAATAAAATAATTAATAAATTTAATTTTAATATTTTTTAAATATTCTTTAATACTCTAGTTTATATTTGTTAAATATTATATAAAAAAATTAAAAAAAAATTTTTTTTTATTAAAAATTGTTTTATAACATATAATTATATGAATTATTTTTTAAAAAGTTTTTTCTATAAATAAACATTATTTCTTTATTAATTTATATTCTATACAATATATTATATTTTATAAAAAAACAATATCTCTTATATATAAGTGTAACAAGTTAAATACTAATTTGCTTATATAATATATTTCTATTTAATATTAAAAAAAAAAATCAAAATATAATATTATTAGTTATATAAATTTGTTTTCAAATATTTTTTTAAACTGTATCTCACTAATTGAAAACTTATTTTTGTTAGATCTGAATAAAAAACTAAATTATTAGGGAGGTACTGACTTCCTAATCTAGTAAATAATTATTTCTAAAATTTTTCCAAACTATAATTTTTATAGTATATATTTACTTATTAGCAATTGATGTTTATAGCAACATATCTTAATATATTACTATTGTTATAAATTTTATACTTAGTTTTTCTGTAAAAATTGAATCAATAATTAATATTTATCACAATTTGAAAAGTGCTTCACCAAAAAAAAAAATTAATTTTATTATAAAATTAATTTTTAAATCAAAGAATTTCAAGTTTAAAATTTTTTTATAAATTTATATATACAAATTTATATATATTGTAAATTCTGATTGAAAATATTTTATTTTTATTATAATAAATTTTTTTAAAAAATTAATTAAATTTTGAAAATTAGATTTTAATATAAAATTTAAAAAATTTACAAATTTTTTTCAATAAATTATTTGATAATTATATATTGATTTTATAAAAAAATTATAAAATTAATATTTTATTAATTTATTTATCTTAATTAAATAATTTTATTAATTTTTTAAAAATATTTTTTCAAATAATATTTTAATAATATATTATATGAATGGTTATTAAGTAAACTTGTTCCTTATAGTCTCAAATATATATTAACAATTTTTCTTTAAATAATCCTTGAAATATAATTAATTAAGTAAAAGTTATTTTTTTCAAAAAATTTTGCTCACCACTGTATACAGTGTATTTTCGAGTTATACAATTATTATATAAAATGCAAAATAGATAATTTTGTTATAATAGTATTTACAGTGATTGACTTATTTACTTTAATAATCAAAACATTTATTTAATTATGAAAATTTTATTTTATTTTGATAAATTTCTTTTTTAATATAAATATAAAATAAAAAAAGGATATTTACTTATTTAAATATACGCGTGTGCATACAGTCTAAATGTATATATTATTTGCTTATTTATACTTTTCGTTTAAGTATAATTAATCGATTTTGAAGTATACTTTTGTTTCAAAAAAATTTGCACTATTTTTTTTCATATTAAACAATAAATTATTGTTATGATCATTAATATTAAAAATCAAAAAATTATTGATTAAAAACATAGAATATATATACAATATTACAAAACTTGGTTGTGTTAAGAAATTTTGTAATTGATAAATTTACAAGTATTGCAATTATCGTTTCATTATTGTTTCCTTACAATAAAGGCAAAAACATTTGAATAACCGCAATCACGAATTTAGTAAGCAACAAGAAAACAAATCAAAATTTATAAACAATAAAAAAGAAAAATAATACCACGTATCCTGATTGATAATTTACCTATACTCTATTTAATGCTATCAAAAAGGTAAGAGTAAAAATATAAAATGTAATGCATCTCGAATATGGTTTTATTATTCTAGCATAAGATAATCTTTATTGTAAATTTTATTAGTTGGAGCAAAGAAAACAGTTTTCGTATATACATAATTTCATCAAGATTCAGTATTTTAAGCCTTCGAGTCATTTGTTTTTCAACGGAATCCTGATACAAGTAATTGATCTATTCCTATCTTTAGAATGGTCAATTCTTGATGATGGAATCCTTTAATTGATCATCATTCGAAAATTTATGAGCTGTTAAAGGGTCGTCACTCGTTCAGGTAATTAACATGCCAATCATTTGGATTATTGTTACGTTGGGTTCTTCTGAACGTTGGTTTTAATCGTAGTCGCAGAGAGACCGAGGTCGTCAAGGAAATAAAATTTTGGTTTGGTCTTGATCATTTATTAATAATCATTAGGTTACCTTTATGTGATTCATCAATCTTTGATGGTATCAAAATTTTTTCTAAATGATTGAAAAAGAATCATTTTTAGGGCAAAAATTTCGTGAATTATTGATGGACGTTGGGTGAAGGAAAAAATATATAAGCCAAATTTTTAATTCAAAAAACAAACGGATCCACCTAAAAAGCAATGACATCATCACTCGAAATTCTTTCTTTAATCTTGTTTCTCTCATCTCTTATCACATGTCACGCTCAATCGTTGGATCCCAATAATCCAATTGCTAGTTACCTTCCCAAGGATATTGGAGAAACCAAGGGTCTGAGGGATAAAAACGCACTATTTGATGTGCACACAAAATGGAACGATCAAGACATGTTCGGCATTGACGTCTCCACTCCACCGCCAAATTCTATCTTGATACCTTATTACCACGTCTACATTCGTTGGTCGCAATCCCCGCAAACCACCACCAACATTCCTCTAACCAATTTCAAGATCTCGTTACACAACAATCCCAAATCTTTCGGAAGTAGAGTCTCGGCCCAAGTTAAATCCGATTGGTCCAAGGACATTGCTAGTAATGTTAGAGCAAATGAGTATATGTGGAGTGTCCCATTGGTTCCGATCGATACGGTGACAAACATGTCATTGTTTTACATTAGAATAGAATCCGAGGGGATTATCAATTCAGGTGTTTTCACGGTGTTTGGAGTTACAGGTCCTTTGACAATTTGGAAGGGTCCGGATAAGGTGAATAAAACTTTATTCGGACCGCCTGTCGAAGAGAATGACAAAAGGATAAATTCGAGTGAGACGAAAATGAGTTCGATGGGTTATAGTTTTAACAAAGTCGTAAATCTTTCGTGCGGAGAAAATAATTTGATGAATGTAGTTATTTTCTTAACGATTATAATGGCCGCGGTAGCTTTGTTTTTGTGACGCACGCAGCTCGTGTCACCAGAGCCTTTGAATGAGTTCTTACCAAAAGCGGAAATGCAATACTATAACACGCAAAATCATAGAAAAGGAAGATCGACGGGCGTTCCTCCATGCATGCATATGTAACAGTACATTACAGTATCGATCTTCTGGACCTATTATTAACTCCACGTGAACCAATGATCGGGGTTCTGACTGATTGATCACGAAATACCATATTGCGCGAAACAAAGTGCAATTTCGTCATATAAGAAAAAATTTCATCTTTCGTATAATTTTTTTTTCGGTGGTAAAGAAATAATTCTCGTGAGGAATGCGTGACAATGTTATAAGAAAATTTGATATAATAATGAAATACTATTAAAAAAAAGCTTTTTGGATTTTTATTATTACAAAATTTTTAAGAATTAGTAAGTTTTTTGTTCGCCTCAATACAGTAATCGCACAACCTGTGTGACAGTAACGTTGCTGCTTCTAAAGTTTACAATCAATCAATAAATAAATACATAAATACATAAATATATATATATTCGAAACCTCGCACGTACTACATGTGTGTGCGCTAGAAACAGAAGAATTCTTTGATTTCCGAAAATAAACTCATTAACGGAATGATTCACGTGATTGCGCACATACTGTAAGTGCACGAATACGCTATTTTTATTCGAAAAGATGATTATACTATATATTAAAAAAAGATGGGAATATATACTCATTAGTCTTCTAATAGCAGATCACGCTCTTCCTCGTCGAAGTTCCACTCTAGTCGGATTGATTCAAATTTATCATGTTCGGCAAGATCGTCTCGGAATTCTTTGACAATCCCAATTTCTACATACTGTTTGATCTCCCAAACCGCAGCATAAGGAAGCTCAGATTCAACATAGAATCTAAATGGACTCTTTCTTCTTTTTATCCATTCCGTGAAGAAAAAAGTGATATGCTCAAGTGAAATGTTAAATGATTTGGGGCCGGCCTTGGACAATAGGACCAAGGAAATATTCTCGGGTGTCATCCCCGTCAAACATTCGAACAAAACAAAGTAATCAACATTTTCGCAGATTTGTATGTCGATTCCCTCCAATTGTTTACAGGTTTTTAGTATGACTCCGAGATGGAGTAAAGAACTTGCGGTTAGGGGAAAGCTCAAAAATCGAACGTCCGAAAGAAAGATTGTAATCATACGCTTGTAAAGCTTGAAATCAAACCCATTTGCTTTGTTCAACCTCGGCCACTGCAGTTTACGAAGTGCGAGGGGTCGGCGTTTAATAATATTCATGCAGAATTCAAAAGGTACGTTTTGCTTGGAAATTTCCAGAACTTGAAGGTCGGGAAATTTTGATGGCAGGATGTCAGCATCCAACAAGGCGTGAATTCTGAGCTTCCTTAAATCGACAAATTCGCCGATTGACGAGATGCACACGTTTTTCTCGAACTCGATGCTGGTCAGGGAATGAACTTGAGTGCGCAATGCCTCTTCCAAACCAGGATAACTAGCTTGTGAAGTTTTTATCACAAACTCCTTCAGACCATGCTGACTTTTTATCAAAGTCATTAAACCTTCATTGCCTGATTTGACGAGTTTTATTCTCAACCTTTGAAGATTTTGAGCATATTTTGCTAAACACTGGAAAGCCCAGGAACTGATAGTATCGTCGGTGTCGAGAATCTTTAAAGCCGAGAATCTATACTCTGCCTCTCCGTGGCAGATAAGCCGATCCCTTGAATATTCGAAGTACACGAGGTTCGATTTACAAGCAAGGAAAAGAACCCATAATTCTTGTTCTAATACGTGCGATTCAGCCATTAGCGTTCTTTCGCACCTATTTCTTTGAACCATTTCGAAGATTGCATATCTTGCGATTTTCTTGATGTCGGATTCTGAAATGCATGTCAGAAATTCAGCATAGTTAAAAAGTGGTTGTGGTCGATCTTTAGGGAAAAGTTCGAAGTTGAACGCCTTCAAAAGGAGTAATGCTTGGTCTGACAGACAGGATAAAATCGTCTCGGACATTTTTGGCCAATGTCGAATGGTTTCGTAGCGACCATTGTGTTTCCGGGATGATATTCTCCAAAGTATCGGAACCGTAACTTTGCACCACTGCCGATTGAGCAAAGCACACGAATGCAGTGACTTTATATCTTTCCCCAATTTTTTGACAATACCTTCGATACACTCATCGGGGATTCGAGGGGTCACAACTTTTGATTGGGATTTTTGATGTTCTAAAGGTTTTTTTATCAAAATTGAATGATGCCATGCGAATCTAAACGAATATTTGATAGATAGGGGAGGGAAAATTCAAAAATACATTCATGTTTATAACAACCAGTATCGATAGACGTCTTAGATGGATGAAGAAAGCAAATCGAGAAGGAAAAATATCGCGAAGATTATGCACTGTGCATTGATCTCTGCCGCCACGATATTTTTTGCGGTAGTCGACTTGATAAAGCTCAAGTTGAAAACTTACCTCGTCATCTTTGTGTCTTTGTGTAAATTTTACTCGAGAACAGTGGTAAACTTTCGACCGATAAACGATATGCGTGATAGTTATTTGTTCAGCTGACAATGGATCTCAGACCAGCATTACGTAAGTAGCATTTGACATTTCTATTGCTTATTTGCTGTGAGAGAGTCGCGGTAATTAAATTAATTAAATCGAAAAGGAAAACAATTCGCGCAGAAAATCGGTTAATTGACGAATGTTATAAGGCGTGGCTCTCGGGTATGTTCATTTTTTTTTTTTAAGGAAATCGGCGTACTCATCCATCTTTTAAATGTTCCCAGCATGAAAGGGAATGTTTTCATCGAAAATGGGAGTCCGTAATAGTATAGTGTGTGGTCATACCAATTATTTGTTCAGGTGACAATGTTCCTGGTGTTACGTAATTAACATTATAAAAAAAACATCATTCAGGTTTTTGGGTGTACCTCCTTGACAATGTAGATCTGAGAAGGACGTACGGAAGGCACTGTAAGATTCAGGTAGGTCATATGCCTGGGAGCGTTCCCAGAGAAAGTGTATTTTTGCTTAATTCGCGCGATAATAAAAGAATATCAACACATCCACTCATATCGTTTGGTATGAATTTCTTCTTTTTGTAAATCTACGGCACAGCACAGCAATGTATTCGTAAAGCTTCTACCTTCATTGATTGGGCGTCATGCATGTTCCGATTCGTGGCACGAATGATGCCTTACTTGGATCATATCCATTTATAATAAGTTCGTACTTCAACTCTAATACATTTACGCTAACACTACGTTGCCATTCCGCCTCTATGGAAGACATGGAAAAGATTTCACAGTCAGCCTTCATTTTACTAAAAAAAGATATATGCTTCGCCAGTTTTTTTAAATGTACCACAATTGACCTTTTTTTGAACGAAACTTTATTTAAGCTTCTTACGTTATGCTTCATCGCATCGCGCACAGCGTCAATGCGGTAACTTCAGCATAGACGTAAGTCTCGAGACATATTAATTTGGTGCTCTCTGGTGTGCCGCGTTATTCCGAGCCATTTCAAATACCATATGAGGAAATGGGCTTACATTGATTTGTTTTTATCCAACCATCAAATTTGTGACAACATATACCGTAGTCCTTGAACTTCTCACGTACAGTACAGTATAACGAGCATTAATGTCACGACGTTTATATTTTATGTCGACTTAATCTACAGTATATGTGTAAAACGACTTCAATTCGGGGTTAAGTTATTACACAGATTTTGATAAGGATTGATTAAATCATAACAATAGCCTTGAGAAAACAATTCCAACCTACGGTGTCATTTCCGTTTGTCATTTCACAACTTCTCTGCAACGTGAAAAATCTTTGGAAAACCCTTACATGTATTAAATAGTGTGCGTACAATTACTGTATTAAAATTATTACAAATCATTACAATAGCACTCGTTCTTGGTATTATTAATCAATGAGAAATGAAAATGTTGTTGACTGTGCCATTCATAATTCCAGATTTATACTTGATGTACAAGTTAGCATATTTAAACGTTTTGCCTTTTGTTACATTTACAACGAAAAAGCTTTCAACAAATTTCTTTAATGGATAATACAGTAATCAGATCAGATTTCATCACATCTAGATATTATTCATTTGATATCCGTATTAGATTTTAATCCGTCCGTTAGAATTTTAGTTAGTTGGCCTAACCGATTTCATATTCATTCGATCACATCAATAATCATTTGAAATCGGTTTATTAGTCGTTAGAAAAATATCCTTGATCAAAGAAATATTTCTTTATTAGGTCAAAGGTATCTTATCTTAATTACGACAGTTTAAATAATGCACGGTGTTTTTTTATAAAAAAAATATACTATATACAGCATGTTGGCATAGCATACGGTGTGTAAACAATAAAAAATTATTAATTACATCTGTTATTATTTCATTGATTGTTATTTTTACATTTTATACTACCTGATCACTGTACAGTACAGTATTGATGGCAACGGATGTTTATTACACCATTGTTGATGATTCTTTATAAAATACACCGAGTTCCGTTTTTCATATGTTCAAGCAAGATAATGTCAACAACAAAATAAAGGATAAGTAAGAGAATTTGCAAATATTTTGAGCGAAAATACTGGTACTGCATTCAGATCACAATTGCATCAAAAACGTTATCAGGTCAGGTTTTAACTAGAAACACAAGGGCTTTCTATTTATTTTGAAATAATCATATCAAGAACATATCAAGAAGATTGTAGTTATTAAAAAATGTATATATATTCTTTAAATTTCCTTAGTTGAAAATAATTCATTTAATATAATATTATTTGTTGGTTATTTAACAAAAAAAGATAAATAAATACATTAAATTTACAATACATAGAATTTGATTAAATAAGTTGATATGTAATATTTGTTGATATATTTATATAATCTTTTTTTTAAAAAAAAAATTGTTTAATCTTTTGTCAAAACTCTTAATATCTTATTAATAAAAATTATTGATATATGAAATTTATTAAATTTTCATTATCGAATGTATATATATATATATATTTATATATATTTACAAAATTTTTATTGTAAATAAGAATTAGACATTAATGTTTATAATCAAATAAAATTCATTGTTTTATAATTTAACATTATTTTTGAATTTAAAATAAAAAGCTAATATTTTTCAAATTATCAAATTTGAATCATTAAATAAAAATCAATTGATACTATATTATATTATTAGATATATTAATTATATAAAGTAAACTTGTTCCAAATATAAATTAACCTTTGATTATCATAATTTATAAATTAAACTAAAATAAATAGATTTTTTATATTACATTGTATTATTTTAAACAACTATTGAATTATTATCAACATCTTCAACAAATGATTTTTAACAATTTGTGATTTTATAAAATGTTTTATAACACTTAACTAGTAAATTCAAAAATTCATAAAAAATTATTAAAATTCATTTTTTTTAAATATCAAAGTTTAATAAAAAATTATTTAAACTTATTTATAATGATCATTTAAATATTATATATATTGTTTAAAAATTAATATCATTATATGTTAAAAATCAATTCAATCAAAGTTATTTACTATTATAAATATTAAATCACTTTTGTAACTGTTAAATAACAATTAAAAATATATTCAAATATTATATTTAAATATTAATTATAATAATAAATTATAAATAATCATGTTTTATTTTAAAGTTTATAAAATATTGGTTTTTATTTTCAAAATTATACTTGAAAATATTGATTCAAAATAAATATTTATAATCATAAAATAATTAATATAACATATAAAAAAACATGTTATCTTAAATATTAAATTTATAAAAAAATAAATAATTAATTAATAATTTCAAAAAACTCTTTTTCATATACAACTTTTTTCAATATTCAAAAATCATTTATACTTCTCAAGAAAATAAAAAAAGTATATTAATACATTGAAATATAATTTCTGATCAAAAGAAAACAAATTTGAAAGTTTTGCTTTTTCTTTAAATTGTATAAGAAAAAAAAAAAACCTGTAACAATTATTTTTTTATAATTTTTTTTTGAATTTCTTTCTATTTTTTCTTTTTTACTATATACAAATCTTTTTAAATAATTATATTTTCTATTTGAAAAACTTCTTTTTAATTAAAAAAATCAGATTTAATATCAAAATTATTTATATTATTAACTTGAAACATTAATATCATTGTTTAATACACTTTACTACATCATCAAAAATCAAAAATTTTTACTCAAAAAATTTCTTATAATTATTTATTCTTGTTAACTGATTAATATTTTAAACTTAACAAAGTATAAAAAACTCTCTCCCGTAAATCAATTTTTAACAAAAAATTTCCTTTTATAGTAACAACCTTTAAAACAAACATTTTG